GTTCCAGCCGTTGGTAGATGGCTCTTACCGTTGGGAGCTATTCGCACCCGTTAGAAATGGTCCCTCGTTGACGATGGTGATCTCCCACGATGAACGATGTTCCTGAAGTGGTCCATGGATTGGTGATCCTCCCACGGAGGTCTCACTGCTTCTCGAATGTCTGTAAAAAAGTTTTAAATTTAGTAATAGAAAGAAAATATCTGAAAAAAAAGGAAGAATAAATAAAAATAAAGTAATGTATAAGAAATAAAAAATAAAAGCCATAAATTAAATGTTAAAGAAAAGAATTGATTTAAACATAGCTAAGAGACATACGAAAAGCTTGAAATATATAAAGTATAAAACAGGAAGAAAGTAAAGATAAGAAAAATTATTAAAATAAATACCCGTTAGAAATGGTCTCTCGTTGACGATGATGGTCTCTCACGATGAACGATGTTCCTGAAGTGGTCCATGGATTGGTGATCCTCCCACGGAGGTCTCACTGCTTCTCGAATGTCTGTAAAAAAGTTTTAAATTTAGTAATAGAAAGAAAATATCTGAAAAAAAAGGAAGAATAAATAAAAATAAAGTAATGTAAAAATAATAAAAAATAAAAGTAATAAATTAAGTGTTAAATAAAAAAATTGATTTAAACAGAGCTAAGAGACATATGAAAAGCTTGAAATATATAAAGTATAAAACACGAAGAAAGTAAAGTTATGAAAAAATCATTAAAATAAGTACCCGTTAGAAGTAGTCCATCTTTGTTGACGAAGATGATCTCCCATGATGAACGATGTTCCTGAAGTGGTCCAAGGATTGGTGATCCTCCCACGGAGGCTTCACTGCTTCACGAATGTCTGTAAAAAAGTTTGAATTTAGTAATAGAAAGAAAATATCTTAAAAAAAGGAAGAATAAATTAAAAAAAGGAAGAATAAATTAAAATAAAGTAAGGGTATCAAGAAGAGACGAGACGTGGTCGAAGCCCATTTGAGTCTATCCAGCAAAGCTAAGGCAAGGAATATGAATGTAATGTATGATTTCATTTACTAATCACATTTCTTCAAAATTTGTTCTTTTCTTTAGATCTATTTATTCTTTACTTGTCTATTTTTATTTTTATTTTATCTTTTTTCTTACCTTCAACTTTTTCTCAAGTTTACCAATTTTTTCAGTTAGTTTTACTTTATTTATGTTTCTACTTTAACTTTCAAACTCTTTGTTTCCAGAAGTTTTTTTAATCTTTTCCATTATAAAGGTAAAATCCCCTTCTTTCTTTTTACTCCTCTTTATTTTTTTAAATATCGTATTAGATCATTGTTTTCTGTTTGTACTGCAAGATTTTATTCTCAAAAATTTGCTTCTTTTAATTTACTTTACTAATTTGCACTTTTATCACTTTCTCTTTAATACTGTTTCTTAAAACTGTAATTATNGCTTAACAGGTCGAAAATTGAGTTGCGCTTTTCTATGTTTCACATTTCTACGCAATTTTCGCGTTTCAACAATGGAATTTAGTTTAATTTGAACTGCAGTAAAAACCGTTTGCCTGTACATTATTTCCCACATTCTTAGTTATTAGATCCATCTTTAACATCTTTCAAAATAATGATTTAACAGGTCGAAAATTGAGTTGCGCTTTTCTATGTTTCACATTTCTACGCAATTTTCGCGTTTCAACAATGGAATTTAGTTTAATTTGAACTGCAGTAAAAACCGTTTGCCTGTACATTATTTCCCACATTCTTAGTTATTAGATTCATCTTTAACATCTTTCAAAATAATGATTTAACACGTCGAAGATTGAGTTGCGCTTTTCTATGTGTAACGTTTGTACGTGGTTTTTGGGCTTTTGACAATGAAATTAAGTTTCATTTAAACTGCAGTCAAAAACTGTTACCTTTACATTATTCCCCACATTTTTATGTATTACATTCACCTTTAACATCTTTTAAAATAATTGTTTAACTGATCGAAAATTGAGTTGCGCTTTTCTATGTTTAACATTTGTATGTGGTTTTTTGGGTTTTAACAATGAAATTAAGTTTCATTTAAACTGCAGTCAAAAACTGTTACCTTCACATTATTCCCCACATTTTTATGTATTACATTCACCTTTAACATCTTTTAAAATAATTGTTTAACTGATCGAAAATTGAGTTGCGCTTTTCTATGTTTAACATTTGTATGTGGTTTTTTGGGTTTTAACAATGAAATTANTGCTTCTTTTAATTTACTTTACTAATTTGCACTTTTATCACTTTCTCTTTAATACTGTTTCTTAAAACTGTAATTATGTTTGTAATAGTTTAACTGCATGTATAATTCGAATTTTCTTTTATACTTTAAAACTTTTTTTAATAATATTAAGTTTTATCTTTATTTTAAATTCTTTTCACATTAAGACCTCTGTGCAAATCTTTTCTTTGTTTTTAATTCCCATATTAAGATTTAACTTGATGCAAAATATTCCTTTTCTTTTTAGTAATTAACCCATCACGGTGACGGCCAGTAAACCTTATGGAGACGGCTAAGCCAAGACAAGGAATACGAATGCAATGTAAGATTTTATTTACTAATTAAATTCCTTCAAAATTTGTCATTTCTTTCTCATTTTATTCTCAAAGATTTGCTTTTTTAATTCACTACGAATTTGCACTTATATTATAAAGTATAATTCTGTTTATAATAGATACTTTAACTGCATGTATACTTCCAATTTTCTTTTATACTCACTTTAAAACTTTTTTTAATTACACTTTTTCGTTGTATTGTTTTATGTTTATTTTATATCTGATTTTACATTAAGGCCTTTTTGCAAATCTTTTCTTTGTTTTTAATTCCTATATTAACTTGATGCAAAATATTCCTTTTTTTTTTTAGCAATTAAAGCGGACTATCCATTGTACAACCCATCCCGGTGACGGCCAGTAAACCCTATGGAGACGTGGAGGCAGCTAAGCCAAGACAAGGAATACGAATGCAAGGTAAGATATTATTTATTAATTAAATTTCTTCAAAATTTGTCCTTACTTTTAGATTTCTTTATTTACCTTATTCTGCTTTTATGTTATCTTTATACTTACCTTAAACTTTTTCTCATTTAACAATCCTTTTAGTTTGTTTTACTTTAATTATACTTTTGCTATTCTGTTATTTACCTTAGAACTTTTCTTTCACTTTTGTAGATTCTAACTTTTTTTTTGTTTAGTAATAGAACTTTCTCTTTAAAATTTTCATTCATTTAGCATTATTTATACTCACTTTCTTTTTATTTACTCAAAAACCTTTTTTCAAGTTTAATTCTTGTAATTTACTTTATCATTAGTTATTTACATTTCTTTATTTGCTTCAAAACTTTTTCTTAAAACCTTATTTCAGTTTATTCCTACAATATTTATTACATTTCTTACAATAAAACTTTTCTTAATAATT